TAGCCTTATAACCAGAAGGGAGTGAAAATCAACAGATTTTTTTTTTTAAATTATTGCTCATTAAAAATATTCACTGTTCACACTTTTCAACCTACAATAGTATACACAGTACCAGCGCCCAGCAGTGCGTTCTCGTAGTCGCCTGATGCTTGACAGTGGTCAACACTTGTGCATGGCACGAGGGACAAACGATGCGCGTCGGCTCATTGCTGACGGGTACACCTGCTGAACTCGTTGCTTGAATTATCACTGTTTGGCTATGTGGTGGTGGTGGTTGGTAGGTTTGCGCAGGTGTAAAGCCGGGCTGCGAATTCGACATGGCGTATGATTTTTTGCAACTGTTCTAAATTTAACCAAAATTTGAATGCACGATGATGCTAATCACTTGTCGGTAAGCTTTTTTTAATAATATCGATTTTATGTACAAACGCGGTGCTGGACAAAACTTAACTGAAGAGGATATCACAAACAGCTTTTTATTAAGTTCTTACCTACCGCTGATGTAAAATACCCGCTGCAATCTTATCTCAACAGGTGTATGTGAATATGATTGCAAAACGCTACATACATACATACATATTGAAAGAAGAGCGTTTTTACTGCCTCTGTCTTATCTTTTTCAACTGAATGCACGGCATATATCAAAAACCCACATAAATACATAAATAAAGTTGTTAGTAATTTTTTACACAGCAAATACCTATATATGTATATTAGGGCGGATCAATTTTTATGGGAAATTTTTCCGACTATGAGCGTATAGCACAGAAGAAAACCATGGGTCTAATATCAATATGGAGTTTGCCAAATTGCGCAAATCGGGTTCTTAGCATTTTGCTATAGTGTCGCAAAGAAGTGCTTAAATTTTGTATAAAAACATGCCATAAGCGTTTTTTTGGTATGAGGCATCAATTTCTGCACTTATCTTTTTCTTAAAACCTCCACCAGAGGGCGCAATAGTGAAAATTTCACATTTTCTTTGAAAATGGTTTCTTCGGCAAATTTGCTTAGAATTGTTTGCTATACGCGCATGGAAATAAAATTTACCCACCCGCATGTAGTAATACCTGTATTTCAGTAATTTTTTATGGTCTCAACATAATCTTATCGGTAAAAGATTCTCTTGAATAGGCTATCTAATACAGATAATTTCTATAAACTTCCGCAACTGAATCAGATTTGTCATCAACTCAGAACACCTGGGCATATGTTTGTACACACTTGTAAGTTATTTATAGGCTCATTATCCATTCATTCCCGAACTTAAGCTTATTAATCAACAAACTTTTTATTATGCCCTTTAAATACATTTGTATGTTTATCGATTCAGTGGAATTTATTTATATTAGGGTAGTCTTTAAATGTAGGAAGCTAATTTTTACATTTGATTTCCTAAGCCTCAACCCCTTTCTCGATTCTACTATAGTCAAAGATATTACATATAAATTTGGCCCCGATTGGAGGCGTTTAAGGCGTGTCGCACTGGGCGAAAAGTTCAGATTCCTCTATGGAGACTCAAAAAATTTAAATTAATTTTTTTTCATCTAATACCCAAAATCGACACAAGCATAGTCGAAGATATCACATATAAATTTTGGCTCCGATTGAAGTCGGTTAAGGCGTGGCGCACAGGAGTCAAAATTCAAATTACCATATGAAGACGTCTTAACCGTCTCCAATTGGGATCAACATTTATATGTGATATCTGTGACCATGGTATTACCGATTGAGGGGATGAGACTGAAAAATTAGCTTTAATTTTAAGGACGAACCTAATGTATATGAACAAATAAATGAGTATAGGGATACATTTTATATAATCCCCATCAGTATTATGCTGCTTTCGTAATGCTGAAGCATTTCTTAAGTAGCTTCTCCGTGGTCCAAATGTAATTACGGTTATGGAAAACGATTGACAAAAACAGCTTAAGAAGTTATGGACGATAGAAAATAAATTATTTTAACTGTCGTATTGAAATCTACCTCAAATGTTAAGTGTAACATAGCCAGTGAAAAACTAAAGAAGTGTTTTTTCGGATACTTGGTTATCTTTTCCAAAGGATATATACATGGGCGTATATAGGGGCAAGTGGGGCAGCTGCCCCCCCAAACTCAAGAAATTTTGCATTTTATTCTTGTTAATTATTGGCGCTGTAACCGCCTAAGTGATTTTGGCCGAGTCCAAAGGAGCTGGTCAGTTAAATGCAGGCACTGCTGAATTTCCATATACATCCTTTCGAGTTTTGGGAGAAAGGCGACTGAAATGTATCGTTATTGCAATCTTTTATATGTATGTATGTGTTATAAAACATACATTTTTGTTGTTCTGCAACTCAGCTTTTACTACCGAAATAGTCACTCAGGTGAACTATACTCGTTCAATAAGATGAACGAAGTGAGAATCAGAAGAGCTAGTTCTTTGAGCTGAACGAACTAGAAGTGAACTAATCTTTGAAGTGAACTAAAAAAACGTAATCTAGTTAAAGACATACATATATATGTATGTATGTACATTGACATATACATTGTTCTATTAACCCAATATATTAACAAACCCAACTAACTAAAAATCCAAAATTCACTTTATTATTGATTATGATACATATTCAGATCGTTTTATGAAATAAACAATTTTAATTAGTTACTGCTTTTTCTATTTCAGCGATGATGTGAGAGAGGATCTTTCTACACATATTAAAGTAACCATATGTATGTAAGTATGTTTAGTGATGGGTGAATTGCTTATTTATTGACGAACTTCCGAGCCGTTCTAACTTCTTTTATTAACGTTAAAAACCAGAAAAAATCGAGGAATATACGTGTTATAAATAAATGTATTTGCATATTGCGCCATGCAGTTCTTCAAGAATTATGACATGGAATGTGTTTCGTATTTCCAATTGTCTAAATAGGTACATACCTACATATGGCGAAACCAACTTATAAAAATTTGCGTTAATTTTTTATATATTTTATTTTGAACGGTCTTCCGCATTTTCTTCTGCAAAGAAAGTCGCACCTTTTATTTTATTTTTTTCAAAGCAAAGCATTATATTAATGAAACTCCCTAAAAATGTTCTAAAAGCTCAGACTAAAAAGTTTGTTCAGTTTTCCTAAACTTTGTGCAAAGTTTGAAACTTTTTTCGCAAGCATTTCAGTTTGAGGTAAACAGTTGCGTCTTAGAAACGCGCCCCAAAAATCACTCATACACTCATCAAAATCCTTTTTTCTTTTTTTTCTTGAAAAATGTTTCACATACAAACTTTTTGATAAAACAAATAGTTTTTGAAGATATGCCATCTGAAAAAAAATTGAAAAAAATCACAATGGTAGCTCGGAGTATTGCTCAATATTTGATTATAGTATTATGGGGTGCACGCTACAATAATGCTTTGTTGTGCTGGAACAGCGTTTCTCCGAATTACACTACTTCTTTCTTATATTTTTATATGAAGATGAAATTGAATGTTAAGAAAATAAGCCGCAAAGTGCGGTTTCTAATTGTATTAGCCCTGG